ACTTGAGCGGGACTAGGTTTGGGATACGCAGGCGAAAGGGGGAGAGAGGAACGAACGGAAGGGCCTTAGGCCCTAGTGTAAACTCTACTGCGGGCGGGCCTTGGTGTATGATGCTTCGAACAAATGGTCGAGAGAGGGGTGTGGCCTTGCATGATGAAAGTGTAAGGTGATCCTTCGCATGCAACATGAAAGCCCAGAAAGACAAAGGGAAAGCAACGGAGACTATGGATGGGATGCATGTGTCAAACAAAAAAAAACAAAAAAAAACAAAAATAAATAAATAAAACAAAAAAAACAAAAAAATGTAGGGGTTAGGTGAAAAAAATCGGCGTTGCCGCTCCCCGAAGATGCTGCAGGACCGATGTGTTTAGGGAAATGGTGAGTAGCCTAAGGATGACGTTTAGCCTACGCACATAAAGAAGAAGAACTCTCAAAGAATCCCTGGACTGCGTGAGTATTGGAAGGAGCAATTGCCTAAGAACATAATCAAGAATCGAAAAACTTGCGCTTGCCGAAAGGACCAGCGAGACTACTACCCGGCGTGAGGGCTGAGCTACATCCCTAATGTCAAAGCCCTCTCGCTCGATGGCCCACCCCCATCCATCTCAAAGCACTAGGTGGGCGTGACCCTGGGACGAACAGCCCACCCCCTAAGCATGAGCGTGGGCGGGCAGAGCCAAATGGGACCTACATTGGGGTCGACCAAGGCTGGAAAGTCTATCGGGGTTTGACCCTACACCGTCCCTTTGGGCCCTCTGAACTAACAAGTTCCCTTGTGGGTCATACACACACTCAAGCCGACAAGCAGTTCAGACAGGCATGCAGACCAGAAAACATGCACACATACAGACTCAGAAAACTCGATAACCAGCGGGAACCTCAGCAAGGCATTCATTCCATGAGCAAAACAAAAAAATCAGTTGTATCTCAGTCCGTGTTTGGCAAGTGATTACAAATCAATCAATCCACATTCTCCCCCGCAACGTTTACCTTTTTTTTTTTTCCCCTTCAATCAATCAATCAATCAAAAATCCGCACGTTGTTTATCCCGTCCACACTCCCTCTGACCAGCAGAAAATCTTTGTAATCACATAAAATTGATTGATTGAATGTGTTAAACTTCGGGCCACCCGGCGGCCCAGCCTCCGTCCGAAGGGGTCCCGGGCGGCCCGGCCGGTTGGGTCCCCGGCCCGACGCATTTTTGCGAGGGGGGGTGGGAAAACCTTTTTCGATGTTTTTTTCGCACTTGGGAGCCTCCCCGCCCCCCCGCGCAAATCCTTCCTCAGAGCGGCCTCCGAATTCGAACGTGGAGTTCGTGCTACCCGTCGAAGTGGTCTCGTCGCTGCGCGCCGAAGACTTTCCCGTCACTGCCCGCCTTCGCCGAGGTGTCAGTCGTCGATGACCGTCGTCACTGCCCGCCGCCGCTGCCCATCGTCGCTGCCCTTCCCAGCTCGTCATCGCTGCCGCCGTCTGAAAGCTGCCCCGTCGTTGTCAATATGGTACGGTTGCGCGACGTGCCACGTGTCAAGCTCTCTCTCTCTCTCTCTCTCTCTCTCTCTCTCTCTCTCTCTCTCTCTCTCTCTCTCTCTCCTCCTCCTTCGTCATCCTTTTTTCTTTTCCCGTCGACGTATCATGAAATCGGCAGGTCCTCCTCCTCCTCCTCCTCCTCCTCCTCCCTTTGAGTTCTTCTCTCCTCCTTTCTCCTCCTCCTCCTCCCTACTTCGTTGGTTTTCTATATCGGACGAAGTGCCCGTGTCAGGCTCTCTCTCTCTCTCTCTCTCTCTCTCTCTCTCTCTCTCTCTCTCTCTCTCTCTCTCTCTC